GCCTGTCTCTAATTCTGGCCTCTATCCAATAAAGGCCTGGACCGCGATGCACTTGAGTGAAATAAAGGCCCGGGCCTATATTAGAGAATTTACGGTATATATATCTTCGGAACAGCTCCAAATGACACAAAACTCATATGGATAAGTAGAACATGATGTAATAAAGTAAAATCAAGGAGCCAATGTAAAAAAAATGGTGTTCCCCTTTAAGGTGGTTACTTGAATGTTTAATTAACCAAAAGTCCAACAGAAGCAAAAATCCAAAAACATTAATCCACAAAAATCCCAAAAAATACTGAAGACCATGAACACTCAAAACAAGGGGGCAAAGAAATGATGACAAACCAGCAAAGAGTGACAGAACAGGAGGAGATTATATGGGAGAGAGAAACAAAGACCAGGCTAATTAGCAGATTGGGAGCAGGTGTGAACAGAGGAGGCAAGAAGGGAGCAAGGGAAAAGGAGACTGACACAAGAGGGCAAACAGGAAATATCCAAGAACTCAAATACAATCAAAAATACCTAGAACGTAAGAATCATAATAACACCAATGAAAACTCAAATTAAAACTTTAACAAAACCATGACAACTATCCTCTGTTATTGATATGACCTGATCCATTCTGAGATTAAAAAAGGTGAGTTTTTATATGTAATTTTATATGTAATTATGTACATAATTATTTGTGATTGTCATTTTTTATCTCCATGTTTTCAAAAACAGAGTATCAATTATTTCCTCAGGCATCAAAATATATTTAAAAGTTTAGGATCAAGAGGGGCAATAGGCTCCTCTGACACCCCTCAGCCTGTTAGCTCTGCAGGGCCAGCCGTTTGATTCCCCTCTTTTCAGATGCATCTGTGACCCTTCAGAACGTTGTGAGTTCTTCTCTCTTTTTTTCTCTGATTCTGAACCTCGGCAGGGTGATGGAATGCTCGCTGGATGTTCACCCCACTGAGATGGCCCTGGTGGTCCAGTATGAGCTGAAAGCCACCTGTCTGGGAAAGCTGGGAGAACCGATAGCTCAAAAGCGCAAAGAGTGTCAGAAGATGTGAGAAGAAGCATTTTGGTTCAGGTGATTTAGGTTCTTCTCTCCCGTCTGATGAACCTTCTTCTCCTCTGGGTCGGTTTTAGAATCCGTTTGAAGAACTTGGACTCTAACACAGACACAGCTTCACTGGCCCAGAAGGTGGTGCAGGAATGTCCTCTGATCCATGAGTCCAAACTCCAGGAGGTGGAGCAGCAGCTCTACTACCTTCAAAACCGCAGACAGACAAATGGTACCAAACACTTTTTCACGTGTTTCTAGAAATCTGTCCTCTGTGGTTCCTTCTGTTGGCCCTGCTGATGAAGATGGTTCTTTTTAACAGACAACCAGGAGCAGAAGAGCCTCTCTCCTAAAGGTTTCGCTCCGTACAAAGGACAGGAGGTAGGAGACGACTCTCTACTCCTCTGTTCGGTGCCCAGCAGGTGAATCTGTCCCTCTTTCCTCCAGCTGGAAGAGAAGGCGAGCATCAACAGTTTGGACCAGTATGTGAAGCTGCTGTATGAGGAAATTCAGGAGAAGATCCGAGGAGCCCGGCTCATCCTAAAGCTGGCTCTGAACCCTGACAACCTGTTGGAGCTGATGCGGCGCAGTAATCTCCTGGTTCTTCCTACTCGTCTCCTTCATCTCCTCTAAGCAGACATTTGCACGACAGATCGATCTCTTTCCATATCGTCTTAGAGACCACATCACCTTAGCAACACAGGCATGGAGTCGTCATCGCTGTCAGACTAGTGGGTTCTAACGGGTCAGAGTTGTTAGAGCTTTAGGCTCTGTACTAGCAGATAACATCAGATCTACCTGATGAAGTTTATGACAGAGAAACTGCGCTTCTGGGGGGCGAACTTTCCAACCCAGGCCTCCCTGGAGTGTTCCAAACGGCTCGGTTTTCCTCTTGTGGGTGTTCTCCTGAACTCGTCCTCAGGTTGAAAAGAGAACTGCAGCTCCTCTCCATGTCAACCAACTGATTTCTCCAACAACATCCCAGAGCATCATGTGCTCCCTTTCAGAATGCACCATTCCCTCCCCCGCATTAGCAGTCCCGCTGCTGATTAGAGCCCAGGGTCCGCCAGAGGTCCAGAGTCAGGGTTAAACCAGGAGATGGAGGAAATGTACAATGATGCCATCCAGCTGCAGCTCTCTGGATCCAGACTAACTCATGTCTGTGTTTCAGAGTCAGCCATCAGTGCGCTGGCCCGAGTCCTGAGCGAGGACTGGAGGCAAAGCGTGGACCTGGCAACAACCATCGTCCACATCTTCTTCTGTTTCTCCAGGTAAGCAAACAAACACTCACCAGAGACAGGGCTGAAGGTCCACCTTCAGCAGGAGAACATCTAGCAGAGACACGCTGGAGAGGCTGGAATGGCCTAGTCAAAGTCCAGACCTAAATCAGCTTCCATACACAGATCCTGGAGGTCTCCGCTCCAGTTCTGCTCCTGCTGGTTCATGTCAGCTAGAAGCTCATGACAAAATCATAGCCGTTTGATTAAAACCCAAACGTCTCTCTGATCTGCTCATATTTTATTGATTTATTGAAGTTTTTAAAAACGGAAACAGGGCCTGGTTCACATTTAGGGATTTGTTCAAAATTATATATTAATGTCTGAAATTTAAAATGTATATATATATATATATATAAAAACGGAAACAGGGCCTGGTTCACATTTAGGGATTTGTTCAAAATTATATATTAATGTCTGAAATTTAAAATGTATATATATATATATATATATATATGCATATGTTGAATTGAAATCTTAAATTAACATATGTATCTTAGATTTAAATTTAAATAAAGATATATGTTTGGATTTGAGATCTATATAAACATGCAAATGCATCATTTGTATTTCTAAATACATAAAAAAGATAGTAATATGATTTAGAGATAGATTTAACATGTGTCTTTACATATTTTTTTTTCTAGATTTAACATCTATATTTGACATTTTCCCCTTAACTTGAAAAAAATTACCAAATGTGAAGGAAGATCACTAAAAAACAAAAGAATGATGCTGAAAAGTTTTCTTTTCTTAAATCTTTTCCTTTGGTGCCCCATTTTCATAATTACTGTTCTGCAGAACATGAAAAAAAAATGAATACACAGATATCTAACATCAAACTAAGTACCAGAGTTAAAGTAGTCTTTATATCTTGAAGACATAGATGGAGGAAATTTGGCCATGACAACTGTTAAAGAATTGTGGAAGATTCCAGAGTTGGGCTTAGCCATCAGAGCAATTAGATTGTTAGTCTCAACTGGTTCCATGTGAACATTGATCAGTTTTGGACCAATGAAGACTCTGATGCAGTAATAAATTCTAATAAAGATAAATGCATGAATGGGTTTTTCTAGATTCTGCTTGGACATTAGTCCTTTAATCCTGGAAATGTTCTTCAGGTGATAAAAGGCTAATTTAGTAACCGCCTTGTTGTGTTTCTGAAGGCTCAGGTCTGAGTCCATCATGACACCTAGATTTCAGCCAATGTGTTTTCTAGCTGTAATAGCCTAAGCTCTGAGATAACACTGGATCTCTCTCCTCCTTTGGGCTGAAGAGTTTTTACCTCTGCTTTGGTTTTATTCAGTTGTAGAAAATGATGGTGCATCAACATATTGATTTCTTCTAAACATCTAGCCAACGCTCTGATGGGTTCATAGTCACCTGGTGACATTGGGATGTAAAGCTGTGTGTCGTCTGCATAGTAACTGTAACTGATCTTGTTGTTGGCCATAACCTTAGCTAAGGTGAGCATTTAGATGTTGAATAGGAGGAGCCCCATAATGGAGCCTTGAGGAATACTGTACCACATTTTTCTGGTCTCTGATTTAAAGTTCCCTATTGACACATATAACTCCCTGTCCTTCAAGTAGAATACTAAATACTACTGTTGATTACACAAAATGAAGTAATCAGCAGTATCAAATGCTGTTCTTGGGTCCAATAATACCAGTAATGTGATTCTTCCACAGTCTGAGTTTATTTGGATGTCATTGAACACTATATCAGGGCTGTCTCTGTATTGTGGTCGGCATGGAAACCTGACTAGAGGACATCAAAGCAGCTTGTAATTGTTAAGAAGGCATTTGACTGTTGAAATACACAATTTTTCCAAAAATCTTACAGAAAAGAAGGTTTGAGATGGGCCTGTAGTTCTGCAGGAGCAATTTGTTGAAATTTCTCTTTTTCAACAATGGTTTGATAATTGTGTCTTTAAGGCCTGAGGGAAAATTGACATAAGGGATGTTTTTATGATTTTAATAACATCAGACTCTAAAACACATAAAACCCTCTTAATAAAACCTGTATGAAAACATCAAGACAGCACGAAGAGGAGCCTAGCTCGTGAACAGCTTCTTCTACACTTTGGCAGGCTATTTGGCAAAATTGCGGCATTTTTAAAGAGTTTATTCTAACTGGAGACAGTATTGGTACTTGTTTTTCTAATAGCTTGTATTCTCTCAGTAAAGAGCATTGCAAAGTCATTGCAGGCCTTTTTATGATTGGTGTTCATCGGCCACAGAGACAGGAGGGTTTGTTAACCTGCCAACTGTGGCAAATAAGACACAAGCATTGTTAATTTTGTTTTTTTATATAATTTCAGAGAGGATTGTGTTGCATCCTTTAGTTGTTACCACTGGAACCCAAAGTATATCACAAGAAAGTAATTTGAAGGTCCTGAGAGCCACCACTGCTATCTTTCTTTGCATGTGGAGGAGCCAACAGTGGGAGACATTTATGGGAGTCAGGTAGTGCTTGGCTGAGAGGAGGAGGGGATATCCAGCCCAATGTTGTCCAGTGTTGGGTTGGATACAAGAGATGGTGCTTCGGAGGGCTTCTTGGGGTCCAGTTGGAGAGGAGATGCTTCTGTTGGGATTTCACACCTGTGGTCACTGTGCTCCAAAGCAATGACGGATGTCACCCATATGTCCCTATTATCTCATTGACCATTTTGGCTGTCTTTATTATTTGTTTATTCTGGTTTTGTTCCTGTTTCAAGAATTCGCATTCCAAGCATTATCTGGTTTCCTTCACAACATGTGGTTTGTTGGGGAATAGAAAAGTTTTGCACCTGATCTTTTCATCTCTCTTAAAGAGGTGTCTCTTTTCCCAGAAGATATTAAAGTTATCAATAAAGCCAGTCGATCTTGAGCGCAGGCTTGTTTGATCCATTTATTCAGGTAGGAAAATCTGCTGAGGACCTCCTCTCCTGCTGAAGGTGGGGCAACAGGGCCACTACTGAAAACTTCAAAGGTATAGAGGCCGCTCACTTATTTACGGGTGAATCATCTAAATAAGTGGTTCCCATAATTGTCAATCATTCTGGTGATATGTTTATGTAAGATCGTCCTACATGCTCGTGATCTTTGTGATCCTCTGTGCAATTTCGGGAAGCATGCTAAAACCAACATTCACTATATCTGCATTTTTCTTGTTGCAGAAGTGTTTAATCTAATTCACAACATCACCAGTTACTATTAAGGTTCTTGGCTTCACAATAGGGTTGTTATGAGGCTGTTTGGGAGAGAGATGGGAGTTGCAATACCTTTTTCTGCGGTATGGAAACAGGCTGTTCTCTCCAAGGTCACCTTCTAAGGCAGAAAATCTGTTTTTTTTTGGAATCCTAATATTATCACTAATCTCATGTGTCCTTCCTTGTCTTTTGCTTGGGAGCAAACGGAAAATATGTTTATCTGAAGTCTTGGTCAGTTTTTGTTGTCTAAATGTGGCATTCAACCTGACAGGCGTTTTTTTCAGATCTGGGTTGGAATATTTGTTCTTTGGCTTTTCTCCAAATGTTCCCAGCTACCAGTCTAGTTATAGTCATTAGAGACGGCACCTTTTTTTTTCACTTCTGTTGATTGTTTGTTGTTCCGATGAGTTTCTGTTTTAATCCACTGGTGGGGTTATCTCAGTGTGTTGAGATGTATTTTCCATAATTTGCTGTCTATGAATGTTCTCCTTTATTCCCCAGTTTCTCCAAGTTCCACTGTATGATCTCCGAATTCAAGATTGGGGCTCTCTGTATGGACATCATTGAACATGAGCTGAGTAGGTTCGACCTCTGGAGGGAAGAGCTGCAGAGGAAGAAGAAGGCCTATATCCTTTAAAAAAGATGTCTCCAGGTCCACAGCCCCTGTCTCCATGTTCTGGTGTAGATCCTAGATCCTTAACTGGCTTCACGCGATGAATCTTCTGAGAGGCAGGACATGAAGACGGAACATGACAAGGCGTACAGGAAGTACCGGAGCCTCCTGGCCAAGCAGGAGAGGCTTCTACAGAGTACTGAGCTGCTGAGAAGTTCTGCTGGGCCGGATTTTCCTGATATACTTCCTGAACCTGCTCCTTGTCCCTGCAGTCGCTCTGAGTCTGCTGCTGAACCTGGCTGAGGACAACCAGACTGAGTTGAAGATGAAGAACAAGAACCTCGTCCACATGCTGGTGAAGCTGCTGGAGCGAGAGGACCAAGGCCTGCTGGTGGTCGTCGTCTCCATCCTCAAGATGCTCTCCATCTTCAGCAAAAACAAAGATGATATGGTGAGCTTGAAGCATCTCTGTTCCATCCAAGGTCCAGAAGAACTGGCTCTAACTAGAACCTATGGGACTGTTCTCTGCCTAATTTGCAGTGTTTGACCAAAGTATTTATGTATAAAGGAACAGCACCTCCATCAGCAGGTACAACATGGAGTTATTGTTTAGTTGGGTGCAAATTACATTTCCTATAAAATGAGTGAGTGTGAAACATCCTCATTAAGTTCAGATTAATCTACTTTGCAGAATGATTTTTTCAGACCCATGAGGTGCTGATTAGGGTCATTTCACAGCATCTGACTCAGATTCCCCTCCAGGCTTTGACTAGGCCGCTGTGACACTGACACTGATGTTCTGGGATCAAACTGGACTCACAAAGTATCTGATTGTTGTTGTCATTGTTAATAAAGTCCAATAATCCCTCACCATTGATCAAGGCTGACCAGTCGGATAGCTTTAGTTCCTCCATCTTTCCAGCTGCTGCTGAAGTTCTGCAGGCTGTTAACTAAACTTTTCCTCATTAGCTCTGAAATGTTAATGGGCTCTTTAATTGGGGTTTTAATTGTCACCAGGCAATCGGAGCACAAATCGGTGTCCAGGTTCCACCTGATTGGTTACGATGGTAACTGTCGTTTTAGTAATCAGCCAGCTTCCACTGATCGCTTATAGCAACCAGCTGGTTCTGTCTGCCACTTCCGGTCCAGCAGGACAGTGTTGGTTTCTGAGCTCCAGTTATCCAATCCGGTTAACAACAGGACTCCCTCCTATTCTGCAGAGCTCCCGTCCAGCTCCCGCCTGTGGCTGCTGATGGAAGCAGGATGTGGGCTGAACTGGTTTTAACTGGGAGCAGATCGGCTCGCAGGGGGAGGAACTCCTGAACTGTGGCGCAGTTCTAACCGGTACGGCTCCTTCTGCTGCCGGGTCACAGCACCTCTGTCCAACTCTTACCTGCGAGGCCAATCAGCTTCACGCCTCCACTTGTAGAACAGCAGAACCTGTACAGTCTGCATGATGGTTCTGGTTCAACTTCAGCAGCAGTTTTCCCCAGACACAGCAGGAAACAGTCCTGGTTCTAAATATTTGACTCTAAGCCGGTTGATGCTGCAGTTTCAACACCTAAAGCCGAGAAAGAACTACCTTTTGGTTTGTCTTTTTGGTTTTGCTTTCCACGTTCTGCATTTGATCTTTTTAGAGATTTGTTGTTTGTAAGTACTTTATGCTCCATGTAAAAAATAAAAATACAATAAATAAATAAATAAACCCCCTCCTGTAACTCAGCTGGAAGGCTAAGCTTCTCCAGCTCACAGAATTTTTTCTCTTAACGGTTCTTCTTTTCTCTGAACGGTTCTTCTCTGCCTGTCATTGCCAGTGTTCCCCCTGATTCTGTACTCTGGTGCTAACTTTGCTCCCTGTCCCCGCAGGCGGAGGTGGCGGTCGTGGAGAAGTTGGCTCGCCTGCTTTGCTGCGACCACCAGGAACTCCTGAGCACTACCTTAGGGCTCCTGTTAAACCTGTCTTTTGACAAGGTGCTGCGTGGGCAGATGGTGCAGGCCGGCCTCATTTCCAAGCTCTCCTCTCTACTCGGTAAGAGATATGTTACCATAGTTACAGCCAATCCAGGCCAACTCTGCAACCTCTGCATGAATCCTGCGACCGATCAGTCTCTTCTGCATCTCTAAATTGGCCTAGGAAGCCTCTCAGGGGGAGGCTCAGATAACAGAACATTATTAATGTGACATATTTGTTAGAATAACACGGCAGAGCCTCCGAACAAATGTTGTTTTTGTAGCAGCGAGACGGAGAAGCAAAGGAGTCTTGAGAGTTTTTGGAAGGGGCAGGTGGGGGTCGGTCCTTCAGGAAGCTTGCAATATGAGTTACCTCTGAAATATGCCGTCTAACAGTTGTGACACTGTTGGTTTGCCTGTTTGAGCGTGAGTTCACTGCTCCTTATGTGAGTGCCGGCGCCATCAATCATCCAGCCGCCTTCCGCCTTTCATCCGCCGCGCAGCATGAAGGCATCGCTGTTATCCTTGAGGGAGACAAGAGTCGTTCTTTGCGTCCAGACCCAAGACGAGGTCGTGACCCCTGGAGATCAGATCAAAGTAGAAATTTTCCCCTCCATCTGATCCAGCTGAGGACCTGATTAAGGATGTCTTTCTCACCTGCTCTATCACCCATTTATCAGGTGAATCACAACATTTCTGCCCTCAGATCAACATCCAGGGTTCTCCATCATTCCTTCTAGTGGTGCTTTTTGATTCTGTAGACCTTCGCTTTCCAGATGTTCCACACAGTCAGAGGGATCTAGATAACATTTTTCTCTGGTTTAATCCTGATTTTCTTGAAGACACCTGGCCTCTTTCTTGCCTTCTTTGACGCCTGGCCTCACTGTTGGAAAGACCTAAAACATCAATCTGCTGCCATTGCAGAGCAAGCTCTGCACCGGTGACAACTTTTTTCTGTAAATTAATGATGAAACAATCATGATGTCTCACTCAAGCCAATCAAAGGTGGACTTTAGAGATTTGATGTTGGTTTGAAGGACAGAGGAACATCACCTAAACTGTTCCTAAATAGATAATACAGATAGACCTGGATAGCATAGATTCAACACAACTAAAATAATCTTTGAATTATTAAAAATCCATCGATCTGCAGATATAGAATTTTATTAAAGCAGAGGTAGGAGGAGCTGCAGGGGATAAGCGTGTGACCCGTGTACAGAGGTGTAGCCGTCACAGGTCAGAGTCCTGACCTGGTGACCTTTGCTGCATGACTTCCTCCTAACTCCAAAATCTGCCTACTATCAAAATCTAGAAAAAGAGGCCACTAATGTCTGTAAAACATGATGGAAAATGTAGATGACATTGAACAGCTGGTATCAGCAGCAATAATCACATTAAAACTAAGATTGTTTATATCCATATAAAGTCAGACAAAAAGAGCAATAAACCTGTATCTTTAAGCAACTTGAGATAACATGAAGTTGACTGAAGAAGTTTACATTTCTTTTAAAGCAATGTGTAAAGTTTGATACTAAAACCATAAAGGTTTTCCATTCTTTAACAGGATGTCCTCTTATCTCAAAGCCCTGAAGCTTTTCTCCAGAGCAGCTAAACTAAATGCAAAGTGATGATGAAGATGGGACACTTTTTCTGGATGTAACAGTGGCATAAGAAAGGCTTCATAGAGCATCCAGTCCAGACCTTAACTACATGCTCACACATTTTACTAAAGATCCTGGTTTATGCAACAGTAGGAGAAGACATTAAAAATGGTAATGCTGTTGCCATACCACTAGATAGCGTATTGTTCTATGACTCTGAATAACATGCATTAACACAAACTGTGGACACTGCTAACCAAAAACCTAGCTCCACTAACCCATGTTTGGCTAACTAGAATATTAACATTGCCGCCACTAAACAGCTAATCAAGTAAAAACAATCAGTTGAAGCTAAAGCTAAAGGCTACTACAGTCATCTCGTAGGGTTAGCAGATCTGCCTCCAGAATCTCAGCCTTTCCTGAAGCTTTTGTTTAAAGTGTTAAACTTTTACCTGCAAGAACATCAGAACTATGAGAACATTTAGTTTCATTGGAAGGTTCTCTAATTCAGTCCGTTCTGTTGTTCGGAAAACCTGTTTCCTAATTTCCCAGAGAGACGTCTATCCACCCCTGATGATGATGATGATGATGATGATGATGATGATGATGCCCAGTGAGTCTCTAACTGAGCAGGAACGGTCAGTGGACCGTGTGGGAGTCTCCTTATAAAGCCTGAAGACCAAACCCAGCTATATCCTTATGGGGATCCAGAATCTCAAGCAAAACTTAGAGAAAGTTCTGGTGGATCCCTCCCTCTGTATCATTCACCTTATTTCTGCTCCAAACTGTCTTTTTTTCTGGGGGCAGGTTCTTCCATGCTCAGGTTCTGATGGAGGCATCGGGCCACTATTGAGAATCCCATGTTCTGATCATCAGCAGTAAAAGTGATTCTTCCTCCTGTTTCCCAATCCCAACCACATCTGGATCTGCTACTGATTGGCTGTACAGACAGAGAACAGTTAGAACTGGGTTGGCTCACTGGGCCTGGCAGGAGAGATTCTCAGCAGTCAACCTTAGCTCCTACCCTCCTCTCTGCGATTCTTATGGGTCTAACATAAAGGTGTCAGGCTCGGCCTCTATCACTGCAGCTAAGCTTTGATTTGGACTGCTGTGAGGAGGGTTTTGGTTCTGGTACCAAAAAATAGATCTGGTTACCCAGTTAAAGCGGTTCCGCCTGTGCTGATACAATATTCATCTCTTCATTCAGAACCAGTAGACCTTCAGCTCTAACCCAAATGGACCAACCAGAGCAACGCATTGCTCACACGAATCATCACAACTGCAGAAACTGGATCAGAACATCCTGGAATAATGAGCTTTCAGATGAATTAGTCTGTAAAAGTATTCACACCTCTGAACATTTTATATAACTTCCTTTGGGATTAATAATTATGTCTGGACCAACGCTTTTCAAAGGGGGTCGATTCTTGATTCACATGAACACGGTTAGTATGGACTCCGGAGCAGCCAGATTCCAAAACATGTCTGTTTCAGTTGGAACTTGTGACATCACCATACGCTGAGCAATCACAAACAAAAATTAAATGAACATTTTGCCACATAAAAAAGAATCCCGCTATCAGAGCCAGCAGTACTTCACACACGGCTATGCCGAGAGAGGGCTTAAAAGTATAATATTCTCGATTTAAAAGTGATCTTTTAACTTAATACTCTGAGCTCTGTGAGCGCTCCCCTGGAAGTTGCTGCGGTGCATGCTGGAACCGCTGTCAGTCTGGAGAATACTGAAATTTGCTCTGATGCATGCTGGGTAAAGAGGAAGGGATGAGAAGGAATGAAAACAACGTCAATGTATCAGTGCTGGTCGATAAATAGCCAATATATCCTGTATCCGCCGCAAACCCTGCTACTTTTTATCGACAAAAGAGAAAAAAAAGAAGAAAGTAATGCATGAATAAAAGAAAGGATCATGGATAAAAATCTCAAACTTTGTAGCTTCTTAGTTTTCAGCTTTTCTCAGTCTGACCCTTTTAGGAGCATCGATCACTGCCACTCCACCTAGAAGGTTTCCCATCGTTCTCCTTTATAGAGCAGCTCAGGGTGGATGGAGAACATCTGGGAACATCTGTAACTCTGGCTCAGATGCATCTGGTCTCTGAGGAACACTCTCTTGTAAAGAGGAAGGCTTCAGGAGTTCATGATGACGTCACCTATCAGACTATAGATAGATCACTGGAGAACTTCAAACATCTAAAAACAGACAGGAACCAGAAGACACTGGGTCTGTTGTTGTGCCCCAGATCTCAAACCTCCCAGAACTTCATCAGGGTTGGAGATCTGCAGCTCCTCTTGCTGCTGCCTGCTGTCCGTATCGACTCAGAAAACATTCCTTCTTCTTCCACTGAGTGTTTGTTAGAGCGTGTAAACTTTTTAAGTTCAGACTTGGATGAATCTGGGAAGGGTTTTGATTTACAAAAAACATTCTTGATTTACTTTGTTGAATAAAATCACTTTTTCTAAGCATAAAGTCATGATGAAAATGTTTTGACCGCTGTCAGAGTTTTGGTGATACCTCTCAGCTCCTCATTAGAACCAGTGTCAGGGATAGCAGCAGAACTGGTGGAAAATGAGAGGGAGATAAACTTATCTTTTTTCTCTTCATGAATCCATGAGGGGAACAATAAGAACTCAGATTTCAGACATTCTGTTCAGATGTTTGGGCCAAACTGAAGTTCCTTCGTGTTCTGACTCAAGGATAAACCTTTTTCTGTTCTCCAACGTTAGCTGCCAAAGTGAGAAGCTGCAGCCGCCTGGTTCCGGTCCAGCTCTGGTGCGGTTGACAGGCCCGTCTGTTAAAAAGGGCCGTCAGCTCCTCCTAGATGTGGTCTGCTGCGTCCTGCAAAGCTTCAGGGCACAACCAGCCATTCAGGTTTTGACCTGCTCCCCTGTCCCTGTTTGTGTTCCAGCTGACCCGGCCCAGAAGCAGCTCAGTCTGCGTGCCCTGTACCACATCAGCATCGACGACGCCTCCAAGCCCCTGTTTGCTGAAACCGACTGCATCCCACAGGTAAGGCAGCAAGCCGACCAGTTAAACACCGATGCATCAGAACCAAGTCTGACATCATGTCAGTTGGTCCGGACTGGCTCAGATCCAAAAAAGTAAAGAAGTTTATTCTCTTCAGACGGGTCCAGTTAACCAACGGTTGCCGGTGTTTGTTCGGTGGGATTGGGTGTAAATGTGGTCCAGATGTGGTTCTGAAGGTCTGCTGTTTGTTTAGAAGGTCGGGTCGGCAGCAGGTCTGAACCCTTGGGCCTCTGAGGTCAGAGACGAGGCGACCAGGATGTGACCTTTGACCACCCGCTCCCCTCCCATTTTGTCTCCATGTTTCTACAAACTGGATCGGTTCTGGTGTTTGGACCACAGCAGCTTTTCATTTCACAGCAGCAGTTCTGTAGCAGAGGGCTTCCACAACCTTTTAACCTGTGATCCAAAAACTCAGCAGACTGATGACCCCCTAAAAATACATAGAAATACTTTAATTAATACTTCAAAGGCGAACGTGTTCTAACGTGTTTTTTCATTATTTAATGAGATATTATTATGCATTTGGGGTTTACAGTTTGTTTCTGCAGAACTAATTGTTATGCTGCAGCTTTTCTCTCAAGGCAAGGCAAGGGCAAGGTAAATTTATTTGTATAGCGCAATTCAGTACAAAGACAATGCAAAGTGCTTTACATGATTAAAATACAGTAAGATAAAACAGAATCAAAGCAAGTAGGAAAAAAAATAAAAAAATAAAATAAAATAAAAAATGCAGAAACAAAAGAAGTTGGATTAAAAAAAATATGTTTTAGTTGAACTGTTTAACTAGAACAGTCGAAGGCAATCCTAAACAAATGTGTTTTTAGTCTTGATTTAAAGGAACTCAGGCTTTCCGCACTCTCCTTCTGTTCATGTTGATTATTTTTTTCTGTGGTCTGTTTGCAGCCTGCAGAACCAAATGATACCAGAACAAGAACCTGTTTATGGGAGTCCAGCTTAGTGGGTTGGAGGTTCTCTTTATCTCATTAGAACTTAAACTGTTGCCGGTTCTGCTCCATCAGCAGACAGAACCATAACCACGTATCACGCCTCTAGAACTTTTCAATGCCTCAAATTCAAACCTCTACAGATTATTTTAATAAACCAGTTCAGAAATCGAGGAGGTGAAAGGAGAACGGTTCTATGGGTCCACAAGAACCCCCTCTGGCTGCGGGTTCTACCAGCTTCAGCGTCTTTGGGATCAAATTATTACGTTTTTGTTCACCCAGAAGATCAGGATGGATGGAGCATCTGCAGACATCAATCTTCAGACCAGTTGGATTTAGGCCCTGGACTTTGACTAGGCCATCCCAACCATCCATTTTATCTCTGGCAGGATGTTTAGGTTGGTTCTACTGGAACATGGACCTCCTCTCTGGTCTCCTAGATCTCGCTCCTTCACATCTGACCAGCTTCCCTGGCTACACAGCATGATGCTGCCACCACCATGTTTGCCTGTGAAGATAATGCCGTAACTCTGGTCTCATCTGACCAGGGAACCTCTTTCCCTGGTGGCAGCCTGCAAACAGAACTTCTAGTGGACCTATTCCTTCTCGGCCCTGCATCATGAAGCATCCAGAACCATTAGATCTACTTTCTCTGCAGCTCCTCCAGAGTCACCATGGACCTCTCTGATGTCCTCCAGCTGACTTCAGGCTTGGGTTAAATGCCCCCTTTTGAGTTTTTGATACTGAATGCTGGTAGAACTATGCCTTTAGAAACGGATTAATTTGCAGTACTTCCAGCTGAAGAACTACAACTTCTGGTCCACAGACCTTCTGCCTGGTAGCTGAGTGTGACTCCAGGATGGCTCCTCCTGACCCTCAGCTTCCTCCTGGTCCCCCAATAAACCACCATGCCGCTGTTCCCACCTTTTATCCTCCCTGTTTTCTCACCCCCAGTGGTTTTTAATGGGGCCAACGTTTGCTGCAGCTCTGCAGAGACACAGGAGGAGAAGGAGGAGGAGGGGGAGAAGGAGGAGGCCTCCGGTGGCCGTCTGCGGTAAATGAGCAGATGCAGGTGCCAGAGAGTCTAGACGGGACTGATTTGGGGTCCGGGGCCCCGCTATGTGATACCTGACCCAGGTTCTGATTCTTGACTCCTCACAGGGAAGCCGTGCCCCCCACCCCCCAGCCTTTCCTGTTTAATGTTAAATCGGCCAGGAGGGGGGCTCTAACACCTAAGTGATCTAACCCTCCGTCTGCTGGAAGCTCAGAAGAACTCCAGTAAATCTGACAGACTACTTCCTTTAGTGTTTCAGTTCAAACTGATTCGATTCATTGAGGCCCTCGCTGGTGTCTCCATCCATCCATGAACAGCTGATGAACAGCTGAGCCTGTGGAGCATCATCTCCTGATGATCTTCACATCTTTTAGAGCAGAAATGACTGAAGCCATGGAACCCTGAACATGTGGACACAAACCCGTTGGGTTTAACGGACCCAGACCAGTAGAAATCCATCTCAGACTGGTACTGTAGCTCTAGGAAACATGGACGCAAACTAAAATACTGCATGGAGCAAAATCAAATCCGTACTTTTTTTTTTCAAAAATATGCTTTTTTTAAAACTGGAAAAAAAAATGTTGAAACTAAAAAAGAAAAAGATTTCAAACTGGAAAGAAATGATAAAAACTACTTTTCATTTACATCTTTTAAAAAAAAAAATTTTTTTTATTTTCTGTAACCCGAAAAATATTATCATTCCACACAATGTGCTATCTAAGCCACGCCCCCAGGGGGCAGCGGATTTTCAGCCATGTTTTAATGGCAGTAATATGGAGCTAATGTGAAGCCAATAAGTTTGTTCAACAAACTTAAAGCTGTGTGGGCGGGGCTTAGGTCATGAGACGATGATGGCGCCTGAACAGAACAACCCTAAGAAGGACATCAGAACCACCGGCTGTCTAACCCAATTGTTTTCTGTCTCTGCAGCTAATGAAGATGGTGTATGAAGGCGGGACGGACATCCTGGACATGGAGCCCGTCGCTCTCTGCATCAACCTGGCTGCAAACGAGTGCAACGCTCAGCTCATCTGTGAAGGTTCAGAACAGAACCTAGAGAAGAGCTCCAGGTCCAAAAGCTTTTCCTGAATATTCTGTCCCACTGTGTTCCTCTTAGGGAAGGGTCTGAAGATGCTGATGAAGAGGGCTTTGAAGCTGAAGGATGTTCTGGTGATGAAGATTATCAGGAATATTTCTCAGCACGGCGGCACCACCAAGAACCTGTTTCTGGTCCGTTTCCATCTCCTCCAGATTTAAAGCCCCTGAAGTCACAGATTAACAGCTCTTCATTGTCTCCTTCCCTCAGGACCACATTGGAGACCTGGCTGCTCAGATCAGAGAAGAAAAAGCTGAAGAGTTTGTGATCGAGTGTCTGGGAACCCTGGCCAACCTGACCATCCCAGAACTGAACTGGGAGCTGGTTCTGAAGGAGTACCACCTGGTACCGTACATGACAGAGAAACTCAGAGCAGGTGTGTGTTTGAGAAGCTGTCAGAGATCACAGAAGGTCTACTTCTTCATCCCTCTTTCCTCAAACCAAAAAAAAGACCTGTCCTGTGACCCGCTCTGACCTCCACTTGCCCATTTATCACAGAGGAGGGTGGTTCCCACCTTATCTACAGCTTTGGCCTTCTCTGGCCTCCTGACTGGGCCTTTATCCCTCCTGGTCTCATCCTGCAGCAGTAGCGGTTTGGAGGGTTCTGTCCAGTTCAGTTTGAAGGCCTCACTATGTGTGAGCAGATGCATGCACCAGTGGTTCTAAATGTAAATGGAAAGTTTAACTCTGACATGATCAGATGATCAGGAGGTGCTTGAAGATGGCTCTGAAGCTTTCTAGTCCTGGTTCTGTCAAATATAATCGGACCCAGAAAACCTGACTGAAAGCAAGAACATGTTCTCGGATTAAAGTTTTTAGCCCTGGATCTGGAGGTACCCCAGCTGAACCAAATAATTCGGTCCAACTGTTCAGGATATTTTGATAAAAACATCGCTGAACTTGAAGGGAAGCGCCTTTTTTTTTTTCTTTTTTTTTTTACATTTGGCCCTTGATTTGATGTTATTGCATCATGTTCTACTCACCCATAAGAGTTTTGTGTCATCAGGAGCTGTTCTGAAGATATTCAGTTATATCCATATATAGGTTATATCCAAGTAACGTCTTCCTATGGGCAAACGAGTTGAAGGCACAAACTAAACTGTTCATAATTTATCATTTATGGTACACCAGCATTCAAAACATGTAGGCGAATCACTGCCCCCCAGACAACTGCGGTTACACTTTTTAAATTTATATTTTTTTTAAAACAAAGCAGAGTGTGAATGATGTCATCCGCGGCGTTTCCCTTTAAGTTCACTCCTGGTTCAGAACCATCAGAACCCTTCTGTGCCTGCCGGTCGGTCTGAGTCTAACTTCTCAGTTAATGGTTCTGGTTGCAGTCTGAGACTGGATTCTATCCAGGTCTCGGTTCTGCAGCTGCAGTTGGACCACTGACACACTACGGGTTGATCGGCCCGCTGGTCCAAAAGTATTAGCAGCAGGTCCAAAAAGTTTGATACAGAGGATGCCAGGTGATCAACATCATCATCTTCCGGTTGACGATCCGACTCGGTTCTCCGGGTTGAGGATCCTGTTTGGAATCTGTTATCGTCTCTATCCGGTTCTGGGTTTACGACTCCTCTGTCAGACCTGGTCCATTGTAAATGTTCTTTAGCACTACTAAAAGCTTCCTCTTCCTAACCTCCAGTTTCAAATGAAGACGATCTGCTGCTGGAGCTGGTGGTCCTGATCGGTACAGTCTCCAAGGATGAGTCTTGTGCCGCCATGCTAGTCAGTTCCGATATCATCCCAATTCTCATGGAACTGCTGGCCGGTAAGAACCTAATCAGTCGATTCCCCTGATTCTCCGGTTCCGACCCACCCTGTTATTGATAAAAGTTCATAGGTTCTGCTGGCGCTGCGCAGGTCCAAAAGCTTTTACTCCTTCCTGAATCTGCTGCATTTCTCTCGCTTCTTCTTAGACAAGATATGGGATGAGGAGTTTGCCTACCAGATCCTCTACGTCTTCTCCCAGATGGTCATCCATCAAGCTACAAGAGACATTATTATTCAAAACAGCAGTATCCTTCTCTGCACCCCGGGGACCGGAGGGTTGACCATTTTCTATGAATATTGGAACCAGTTGAACCCAAATAAAGTCCAACTGGTGTCTGAGGTGGAGCTCCTAGCGACACACTTTTAAGTAAAAACATTTCTTTAACATTTCTTTAACAGAATGTGTGGACTACTTCATCTACCAGATGCACAAACAAAACACAGCGATCCGCAGAATCTGCAAATACGCGCTGGACAACATAGCGGTGAGTTACTGCAGGATGCCTCTGCTTAGGACACTAATGATCTGCAATAGAAGGACAATTTGGAGACAACACCTTTAGAGAATAAACAGATTAACTCCTCCCGGCCAGTAGGTGGCAAACTGGAGTTTGCCCGCTCTTGTTCCAACAGTAACTACCTGATCTGTACCTGAAGCCACATCGTACCATCAGCTCATTTGCAACCAGATATCCATCCAGGTCCCCATAACTAATGTAATTACTGCAAATCTTCAAATAATGAGAAACTACATCACTAAACAGCTTTTCTGAGAGAACTGGATGCATTTTATATTTTCTCCTTTATATGAATGGTGTGACATCATCTTAGGACTCGTTGGAGCATTCCGGTATTTTAGTTAGTCTTTCTTCAAATTGTGCTCTATATAATATAAAGGTGCAAAAATAAGACTCTAAATGACTACAATTATTCAAAAATCTAAAGCCGGATGTAGGCTGGGGTCTCTCTCAGGGACAGATTGGGAACAGATGAATTATAACACAGAAAGGTTGTTATTAACCTTTTACACAGTGTGCTTAGATAAGACTTTTATAATAAGGTTGAGTCTGTCTTTTTTCCTAAAGTTCAGTTGATAGTGACCCGGCTGTATTCTGTTAGCTGATGTGGAAATTAGCTGATTGTATGGATATGTCTACTGGTAATGATCTAATGGCAGCCAGGACTGCTAATGCAAACATTTAACTGACCTGTCCAGAAGGAATGCGGTAACTTCTGTGTTCCTTCTGAGCCTCTTTCCTCCATAAGACCGTACCAGCGCCCTAAAGCCGTTCTCCTTCATTTTGCTTCTCTTTCTCAGCTCTTTCATTGAGCTACAAGGATCTCAGAACACCCGAGTTCCATTTCTTAGGACTTAAACCCGCTATTCCTATTGGTGCAGATTGTAGTTGACGTCTGCATAGTAACCAGATGTAAAAATTAATATATTTTGGACCCGTCAAAATTTATTAAACATTTACTGACATGTACCGATTTTTGTAAAATATTTTGCCCCACTCTAGACATATTTATGATTAGCTTTTAATCTTAATTTTTTTGATGGAGAGGATGTAGCCATGAGTTTTAACTCTCAGACTGTTTTAAGTTTAATTGCTAGTTTTAAGGTTTAATCAGAGCCTGTTAAATAGCCTTAAGCTGGAGGCTCTTTAAACATGAAATAAAGTCATGTATTCTCACTCCTTAAATAAGCTTCAATGTTTAATAGAATAAGATTAAATATTTTGAGCAGACAATTAAATGTATCTTATAACTTACCTTAATTAGCAGATTTCTGACAGTTTACTACCCTTAATGAGATTCAGGACCAGATAATCTGGTTCCATCTGGTTAAAATCTAAAATCAGGTTGGAAACTTAAAAAAGATTTAATCTCTGCTGCCTCTTTGAATCCGTATCTCAATAAACGGTTTTCTAAATTATCAGCAGCTAATTTTTTTTCCTGTTTTTCTGTTCAGAATTGGAGCCTGTTTCAATCAAATGCACTATTGTTATTTAAATCCAGATTCTGCTCTCATGAGTAGCTACAGCATACTGTGTGGTGACTAGAGGATAGATAAGAAGCTAGAACTGAGCTTAACAGAATATCAGAGCTAACAGACCGGGTCCCTCTCCTGGTTACACTCCAGACTAGGAGTCTCAAGTCCAAGTCTAAATGAGGATGAGAACGAAACAGATAGAAGAGTCAAAGCAGGCGTCTGACTCCACCCCTAAAAACCAGCTGTGAAGAAAAGGTCTCCTCAGAGAAGCTGGTGTCTGCCAAGTTTCTGATCCAGGTTGAGTTTCTTCATTTTGACCAATAGAAATAGATTCTGATGATTTAGAAATGATTCAAAATCCTCTTCAGGTTAATCTTCATGCTGGTCTTTAGGTTGGTCTTTAATTATGTCTTTCAGGTAGTCTTTATGCTTTTCTGCGTCTCCCCTGACGTCTACCTCTCTGCCCATCAGAACCCAGATCAGCGTCTGATTGACGGCTGCGGTTTGCTTCCAGCCGCCGTCTGATCACTGCCAGACCCCTGATCGGCGTAATTAGTGGTAGACTCTGAGCAAGCAGCGAATCAGAGCGAAGGAAGTGTTTCATTTAAATGATCAGCAGTGCTTTGAGCCTCATGAAAGGCAGGCGGGGGGATCTGGAGTGTGTCAGCCGGCCGACGGCAGCGTCAGCAGAGAAAACACACACGGCCTTACGGTTAATCCTCATCTAAACACGCCCTGTTACTGAAAGACCCGCCTTTGATCAGAGCAGCTCAGGACAAACCCAGACTTCATGCAGAACTTTGGAGAAGCTCCAAACCGGATTGGGCCGGGTCCACAGTGTCCTGTGTGTACCCCCCTCCCCGCTGCTATGGTGTTAATAAGGCATCATTCACTTCAGTGTGCTTGTGATGCTGCTGGGATTAGACCCAGGCCCGCAGCATTACAAAACCTCTACCGTACTGAACCAGTCTGAGCTTACAGGTCCAGTTACAGTCCACATTGGGTGGTTGTTGTAATTTGATGACCCTGTCAAAGGTTCTCGCTGAGAACCCAGATCTTCCCAGGTTCAGATCAGCAGCTGATCCCAGTTCCAACACTGGTCTGCCAGAACTGGACCGCATGTTCTTCTCTCTGTCTGTCCCATTTTGGAGAAAACAGGAATTATTAAGGAAACGTTCCTAATTAATGGAACTTCTGGCTCGGTTCTGGCTTACGGTCTCCACATATTGGATCAAACGCCTGATCTGAACCTCATGGTTGAGCATTTTCAGGCAGAACTGGATCATATAGAAAGGTTCTATAGAAAGATTTGGATCTTCAATCATAACTGTATATTTAAATTTCTGATGTTTCAGGAACACGATGAGGAGTGTAGGAAAAAGATTAAGCTGGAAAATTTCCGTTCATACAACAGCCAATGGTTGGAGAAGGTGGGGTACCACCTGAGCTGGGATGACAAAGATCACTTTGACTACAGCAAAGACATGGAGAAACTAAGCTTCACAGCAGGTACCGGAAAAATTCCCATTATTCGGGGTGGAAATGATACCCGATTCTGGTTCTGGTGGATCTTCTCACTTCCGTGTGTGGTACTGTCCAGATGGGATCCTCTCTGTGGACAGATCCGTCAGCCTGGACAGCCTGAGCAGCGACCTGAGCGAAGCCGAACCCTTAGGAGGTAAGTTTTCATTTGGCCCTTTGGTTGAAGGTGTGTTATGGTCCTACCTCTGCCAGAACCAGTCCCCAAGCCTCCGGACGCACCAGTTAGAACATACGGTGACGATAAAGATAATAACATAGTAAGCAATAAAACTGATAATGACCAAATTTCACAGATTTTATGTTGACATTTAAAACATGGCTGCCGACAGGGGGATGAAAACAACTGTTGTTCTGGGCCCAGCAGGGAAGGGGCAGAACCTTAAACTCCATCCTGTCCTCCAGGCAGAGACCCTGTGGACTCATATGTGTTCTCTGATTCTGGTTCTGGTTGATCTTCTCACTTCCATGTGTGGTGCTTTCCAGATGGGATCCTCTCTGTGGACAGTTCCGTCAGCCTGGACAGCCTGAGCAGCGACCTGAGTGAGCCCAAACCCTTAGAAGGTAATTTTTCATTTGGACCTTTGGTTGAAGGTGTGTTATGGTCCTGCCTCTGCCAGAACCAGTCAACAGATCATCCGGATGCACCAGTTAGAACATCCTGGGATGATAAAGACTATAACATGATAATAAGCAATAGAACTGATAATCATCAAATTTCACAGATTTTTTGATGACATTTAAAACATGGCTGCCGACAGGGGGATGAAAATGTCTCTGTTGTTCTGGGCCCAGACAGGGGAGGGGCAGAACCACAAACTCCATCCTGTCCTCCAGGCAGAGACCTTATGGACTGATCTGTGTTCTGGAACAGGGCCCTTAGTGGTCCCTTAAGGCGGGGCTTTGAGAACAAACCGTCTCCATGTTTCCCTCCGACCTCCTTTGCTCCATTCCTGATCCCATTCCAACATTCCCGACTGAAACTTAACTCTGAGGGCTGGGAATTTAAAAGCCCAGGCCTGTTATCACCAGAACTGACTCCGGGTTTCCTCTGGGTCCACAGAACCAAGCGGCCGCTAATCGGATCCGCTGCTGAGATAATGAATCGTTTGGGAAATCCAGAGTTGATTTAGAAAAATTTGTCCCATTACCGGACCGCTCCTGTCCGTGGATTTTTTGGCAGGAATGTTTTCATTGGCTGTCTGGCCGTGACCCGACGGTTCAGAACACGATCTGAGCAGACGACAGATGCTTCACCTCCTCGTGTTTGTGTTTTCCCCTTTCCCCGCTCGTCAGCGGGCTCTGACAGCTCTGCAGCGGCGGGGAAGGCGCTCCTCACACTGTTTTCATTTGGACCAACCCGGGTTAACATAATAATCAAAGCCAGCCCGGCCTCTCACTTTAAACGGTGTGTGAAACACGGTGTGAACGGGGCCTCAGGGAGCAGTCGGTTCCATCTGAAGCAGGTTCACAGAGACAGGCCCAGGTTCTGGTTCTGGGCCAAAGAGAAGCCTGTTGTTCAGAAGCTTCTTCTCTTCAGACACCATTAGACTTCATCCTAATGCAGGAAGATCCTCACCTCCTCCAAACCAGAATTCAAAGATGCGTTCTAACTGGGCCAAGCTGCTTCCTAACTGGGCCGAGCTGCTTTGTGTTCCAACTGGGCCGAGCTGCTGTGCGTTCCAACGGGGCCAAGCTGCGTTCCAACTGGGCCGAGCTGCTTTGCGTTCTAATTGGATAAAGATGCATTCTAACTGGGCCAAGCTGCTTTATAACCGGGTCAAACTAGTTTCCAGTTTCCGTCAATGTTCAAACTCAGACAATTATTGTAACAAACGTTGATCATGGGGTCGATGTCCTGCAGAGTCAGCTTGGATGTTTGCACCAAGGCAAAAGTTCTGGTACCATTAGGATGGAGTTTCATGATGGTTTTGTTCCAACTAAAGCTCCTCAGTCAGTAAGAGACAATCTTCCTGGACCACAACCTTCTAGCAGAGCTGCTTTAGATACGTCTGTTGGATCTCGTTTCTGAGATTTAAGCTGAAGGAGGTTTTTCTGTCGAGGTCAATCCTCCATCCAGTGACTTCAAAGATCTGTGGACAACATCTGGCTTTCAGAGGCTCCTCCTGAACACCGGGCCCCTATGTCCCCTTTGGCCCCCAGCCTCACGGTGATGGAGATCAGAGCTGAGACCTGCTGGTTCTGGAGATCCGCTTAGTCGGGCTGCAGGGTTGATGTTATCTGGATCATCTCTGTGGTGTCTGAATGCAGGTAGAACGGCATCCTCTGCAGAGCCTCTGCTCCTCGGACTCGTTTTGTGCGGTACTGGGCTCGGTGGACGGGTTCCAATGTGGAGGCGGGATGAGGGGCTCCATTATCCAGGTGGAGGTTCTGTATTCTCCTCCTGGACCCGTTGGGCTGTAGAGCAGAGCAAACATTTTCAAACTGATCATCTCACACTATACTAATCTACAGATGTGGAGCAGAGTAATTACATTTATTCATTTATACATTTATTTACTGAATAAAAATGCCATTTAATTCATCATTTTAAATCTATTTTTAATTATTTCAGCATTTTTCCAGTTTAATGGTAAATGTTTGGATCAATACATTTGTTTATTTTATTTGTCTTTTTTTATTGGATGGAACATTTATATTTATGATTTTATAATTTTCAACATTTCAACCTATGACCCCCCAAAAAGACAAAAAAAATAGACTAAAAACCCTGGAAAAGAATCATTTTAATCATAGCAACTATATATTTTTTTAAATGTTGCTTTTAAATTACATTTAATTAATTACTTCACAGTTTTATATGTATTTTTAACATTATTTTGATATGTGTTATTATTGTTTTGAATGATCAATAAAAACCAAGAAACACCAAACAATAAAATAAGAAAACACCCATAGATATGCAGGTAAACACGCATGTTTTACACAAATAGTTCAAAAAGAATTAGGTAGAAGATATAAACTTTGATATCCTCTCGTTTCTATTTGCAGTTAAAGCCTTCTGTGTTTCCAGAATAATAAAAAAAAAGAAACTGCTCCTTCTTGTGAACCTCTCTTTAATAATTTCTGCATCGAAAACCAACAGCAGCAGTTTATAAAACATCTCAGTTCATCCTTACAGTCATTTTCAATTAGTCTATTTTTTTGTTTAAATCTATTATTTAATTAATCACACACACACTAGCAATACAATTTTTTTTAGGTACTTGGATTGAATGTTATTTTTTTTAAATACCCCCACCCCCATTTTTATAACAAAAATATTTTTTAATTATTGTCTGGAAGTTAAAATGTTCTTGCCTTGAACATAAATTGAACTTTATGTATTATTCTGATATCTTTCATGGCTGTTTTGTAGATAGTGATCCAAACTTCCACACAATAAATCAAACAGTGAAACTGCTTAGTAATCCAGAAAAACATTAAATTGCCCTCAAACAGATTTTAGTAGTGTTTGGTTTTGAGCTAAATTTATCATCAGTGTTGCACCAAGAAATGTAATTTTATGGCCTCGTTTTGAATCAGCATCATCAATAGTCATTTTGATTTCACAATTTTTGTTTTATTATAGTTTGCAAATAGCATGATTAGCAAGATTTTGTGATAATTTATATTTTTGATGCAGCCTGTTTGTTTGCCCAATTCTATATGTATTATTTAATGGTGATTTTTACAATTTAATGGTATGTTTAATATTATTATCATATATGAGATAAATAAATTGACGAGTAAATAAATATTTAATGGTTTATACCTATGAATTTGGACGGGACAGATACTTTCATATACTTTATGTCGTATTGCCCTTCATATATGCAGTGATTGTAATGACTGTGAAATTATCTTCTCAGGAGTTTAGAAGATAAATTTATTTCTGTCATCTGAAATGTATGAGGTGATAAATTATCAATAATTCAGCTTCTTCAGGGTAGTATTTAAATCTGACTTCAATTAATATCTCAGGTTCTCTTTTTATGTTGTCCGTCTAACATTGCTCAAAACCTGCCGTTCGGCTCCAGAACCCGAGGTCGGGCTCCACTGTTCCTCCTTTAGCCTGGGTCCTAAATCCCCTCTGACAGGCGTAGCGTGCAGAGAGGGAAGGGAGGGGGGCATAAGGAAAAGAAGGGGGTGGAAGTGATCTGACTAAAAACAACATGTGATTGTTGGAGCTCACAGGGGCAAAGCAAGCAGCTCGTATTTTTTAGGAGGATGGAGGACAAAGTCTTTCCCATTTAGGACAACAAGTCCAGAGCGCATTGGACTCCTGAGAGACGTGAGGTCATTTCCTTCGCCACTGTGACCCCCCCACCACAGCTGGAGAATGGAGCCTGAACCTCCAGGCCTCCTCTCATCCTTCTCCTCACCATGTTTAGACATCTCTCTCTCTGTCTTCATGGCTTTTCCCCTCCAGCCATGGACGCTCTGAGATTCCTACTCCCACTGTTGACGTCCCACACCTGCAGAGGCCCAGCAGAACATTAGAGGAACTGTTGAGGGCCTCTATAGATCCAGTTTTATGGCTGAAGGTTTGGTTTGGCCACCAAAGGTGTAGTTGTGTGGTGTGAGGGTTCCATCTGGTGGTGTGAGGGCTGCCCCTGCAGCATCAGGAAGGAAATGACCATCTAGTTCCTTTAAGTCAGATTCAGAAGCTGTTCTTGTTCCTCCTGAATCCATCCCATCTGCCCATCCATTAAGCCATCAATCAATCAACATTCATCCATGCATCAATTCATCCATCCATCATTTATTCATAATCAATCCATCCTACATCCATCCGTTTATCATTTATCCATGCATCCACCATTCATCCATCCATCATTCATGCATCCATCATTCATCCATCCATCATTTATTCATAATCAATCCATCACCCATCCATCTATTTATTCATCATTATCCATCATCCATCCATCCATCCAATTATTCATCATCAATCCATCTACCCATCATTTATATCAATCCATCATCCATCCATCCATTATTCATCATGCATCCATTCATCCATCATCCAAGCATCCATCATTCATCCATCCAACAGTTCATCATCAATCCATACATAATTCTTCTCCATCTCATCCAATTGAATCCACAATCTTTTAATGTTAATCCTAAACTGGTTCAGGGTTTTTAGTAGGCAGAACAGTTCTGATCTCTGCAGAGATTCTGGTTTTATTGGACCTTGAGGATCCTTCAGCAGATTCTTGATGGTTTTGGATCCTGAAGATTGAATCTGTTTGTGACTGGTTCCTCTTATTGGATTCCTGGTTCTCCTGAGACAGCCTGTTAAGATCTGGGGTCTGTTTCACAAAGTAGGTTCACTGAAAAATCTTTACGTTTAATAAACCTGACATCAAGGAAACTCTGAGTTTTCCGTTTTACAAAAATAGTTTACTCAACCTCTATTTCTATTACCGTATTAACATTCTTCCCAGAGTTACCCTGGTTGGGATTTTTTTCCTCAGAACCAGGTTTTTCTCAGTAAACTTAGTTGCCTCTGTCTCCTTAAGTAGGAAATGAAATGCTCAACCCAAGAAATTTAATTCACACGATAGTGTCTTACTATTAGCGCTAATTATATTTGAAATGTTGCGGTATCACAAATTGTGACATCATGTGATTGGTCAATGCTTTAGCTAGCAATTGTATACATTTGATATTCCAGCACCACATCACCACCATAAAACACTTAAAACATTTGGTTTGATGGAGGACGAAACTGAAAAGACACGGAACTGTCTAGATCACATTGCTTATGCTTTTGAGCCCATTCACTGTGTGCTGTAGTAAGGAGAGAAGAGACAGTTTTGGAGCTGGTGTTCTCACTGTTCTTGCTAACCTACAAGGAAATGCATTTTTTCCTTGTTAAAATAAAGTTTTTTTTAAACAAAACTACATTCATCATATCAAGAATAAACATTCTAGATATCTAAAAATGTATGTCAACTCTCCACATTCATACACTGGTCATCATTTGTATTATTTTGGTTAGGAAGAAATCTATTTCAGATCTTATAGATACATATTCAGTAAAGCTGATAAATGCCACTTAAAAAGTCTAAACATTTCTTGGTATATGAAACGTAATTCTTAATAGTACAATCTATTTTTTTACTGTCTGAAATTGTTTTTCTGCTGCAAAAATGTATGCCAAAACAGCCTGCCATACTAGAGTTCATATAGATTTATGCATTAAGTCTTACTCCATTAAACTCTCCTTTGCAGCTGTAGTGCTGTTGCTCTTTCTTTTAAACAATTATCCAGTATTTTTAATTCTTCATTAAAATCTCTAGTTCCAGTGTTGTGAAATAGGCACTTCCTCTTCCTTGTTGCCATGGTGACCTGTTGAATTGGTGCTCCACTGATAATGGCCTTATATTTGTTACACATGCACTCAACTCAAAGTGAACCTACTCAGGCTTGATTTTGAACTAACTCACTAAACTTAGTTTTCGACCTCAGGCTTGATGAGTTCAAAGTTGAGGATTAGAGTCTAATTTGTTAAACCTGCTTTTTGCAACTGGCCTCAGCTTTTGAATTTATGTGGCTTTAAGGATGAAAAAACTGTTCCATGAAAACTTAACAGTGTGTGTGTCTGAGGTTCTCTGTTACTATTCTTTACTAATCATTTTTTCTCTCCTTGCTGTCCTTTAGAACCTGGGATTAGTTTGCCCCTGCTTCTCCCGTCCTTGTAGATCGGCCTTTCAGAGCCAAGACTTTTGGATGAGCAGCTACAGTCACAGTATCACTGCTCCCCAGTAAACCCGGAAACTGAGACACTTCTTCCTCATCCTCCCTCCATCCTCCATGAACCGTTCAGGGACTCTGTTCAATAAATTCCTGGTTTCTCTTTATTTTTGGAACAAATTGTGCCCTGAGTTCCACTGGGGTGGATAAAAGCCTCCATGGTTGTGTTTCATTTGTTGGTCTTGTAGATGATGTTGTGGGGCTCTGCAGCAGCCGGTGGTTTAGTTCCGATCCGGTCTTGTTCTTATAGTTGCAGTTGTTGTCTTAGTTCCCTGTAATTGGTTGTTAGGAACTATTTAATACACCAAACTTCTCGTTAAGGTCCGATTCTGTTTCCTTTCAAAATGGTTAAAATTTCATCATTCATAATTAATATAATATTCAAACTTAATGTTCTCTGGATTGGACTTCTGAATCAAAGAAAATCGGTCCTTTACCATGGTCACTGCAGGCAGGAAACAATGCTCCCACCTCTGCATTAGAGATTAACCAATCAGTGTCCAAAAAAATTATCCTTCATCGTTGAACTTTTTGTTAAACGTTACCCAAGACGGATCTGCACTAGAAACGGAGCCTAAAGTAGGTCAGGTGAGTTCTGACCCTTCAGTGGGCCGTTTATTTGTCTGACTGGTTCTGGTCGGATTTCTTGTTTTGACTGTAATGTTTGCTTTCAAAGTTTCCAGCAGGTTAAAGTCCGACCCAGTGTGTGGTACCTCTTAAACTGGTATCACTTACCTCCTGAGGTCCAAAAGGCCTTTTTGTGACCAAAGCCCAGTTCTGATGCAGCAGACTCTGTTGATATTGACAGAGAGATGGACTAATGGGTCCAGATGTGTTCAAGGTGGGAAAACTTTTGCTGCCTGATAACCGGGTCTCTGATCTTAGTTTGTTTTTTACTGAAATTCTAGAAGATTAACATCCTTTGGAGATTTATTGATTTATGAAGCATTTTCTCACAGGAGGAGGGGAGGATCCTCCTGCATTAATTTAATGGCGTCTGAGGAGAAGAAGCGTAATCATAACTCTCTCATTGCTAGATCTATCCCGACCAGAACCGGGTTAATGTGACGTTAGAGAAAAACATCAGAACCACAAAGATTTGTCAGTTTCTCCTGAAATACTTTTATTTCAAATGAATATGAGGAGATGATACGGTTTGACTCCAGATAAATTTAAGTTTAAAGTAAGAAAAAACTTATTTATTTTATTCTCCATCTATTGATTTGATTTTAAAGGCGTACATCTTGGTCCAATCGTCTCGGTAAGTTCTGATTACAGGTCCAAATTCTTTAGGGTTGATCCGTTTCTGTAGCGACTGGAGATCCCGTGATGAAGATGTTCTGCCTCCCTGTGGACTCATATGGTCCAAACAGAACCTTCTTGACACTAAATCAGAGTTTAAATTCTAATGCTGGTCGCTCAGATGTATCCGACCTGATACCAGAACCAAGGTTTCTGACTGGTTAATGGGTCAGGTTCTGGAAGGAGGAGGACACTGCTGATTGGTCCAAACTGCATCATGACATCATCAAGGCTTCTTCTGTACATGCTAAGTCTGACTGCAGCAGATCAGAACCAGCAGGATCTAGTTGTGGATGTTTGCTGTTTTTGGAGCAGAAATAAAGACTCGGAACCAGAACCGGTTAGCTTTTCTTTACTGGGAAATTAAACTAGTCCAGAGATTAAAACCAGTTCAGCTTCCTTTACTCAGAACTTACTCCATCAGTCACCGGGGGAGACGGTCCAGTCAGAAATACAGGCACTTTGGTGAGCAGGCCGAGAACCTGGACCTGTCACCATGGCAACAGCCTGCAGAAGCAGGGCTGTGCCATGGCGAGGCCTAAAGGCCACATGAGGCTCAGTGGAGGCAGACAGAGAAGATGATTGGTCCAGATGGTGAAAAACCTGGCCCAGCACCAGTACTACGAGCTGGTCCTGAAGTTACCATTAAAACCAGTTTATTAATAAACAAACTCCCAGCCAGAGAGCATCCAGTGGTTCTGATCCAAATGATTGTTTCTTTGAGCTGATTGCTCAGATTAAAAAACATCCTGAAAATAAATGTTCTGGTAAAAGTATGCAACTCCAGTTGCCTCTGATGAAATTTAACCAGCAGAACCTGATCTAAATACCTGAACCAATTCACACCTTTTCCTCCCAAAACCAGAGCCAGTACCAGGGTCCAGCAGGAGCACAGTTTCTATGGACTGAACGGTACCAGCTGAAACCAGCCTGCCAGGTTTGTCTTTAGGAACCAGAACCTGAATATTTTACTGATCCCAATGTAAAACCGGGATGGAGCTGGGACCAGAACCCAGCAGTTCTGGTGAGTTAAACAGAACCTAAAGATGGGGATCTGGGTTCTTCTCCATCGGTACCAGATAAGCATCACAGAACCAACAATAAAACACCTTCAGCTAAAATCGCATCATTGCTATAAATAAGTTACATTTTCATGCATAAGTTTCAGACGGTTTTGCTCTGAGGTCCGGCACAGTGGACCCCCACCCCCCCAATCAGTCATTCCTCTTTGGGATAACGCTGCAGTGGCTCCTCCACCTCGATCACCTCCACCACCAGGTTCCGGATCTCCTTCACGCAGTCCAGCGGCTGGACTCCAGAACCTTCCGGAGAGGACGGGGTGTCGCTTGGTTCTGCTGGACTCTCCACAGCTGCTCCGGCTCCAGCTGCCTCCGTCTGAACCTCAGAGGACGGTTCACCAGCCGAGGTCTGGTCCTCAGATGGTTCTTCTGGGCTCCCAGCTGATTCGACCACGTCTAGAATTTCTGAGGTCTCTGGGGTTCCGGTGGTTGACTCCAGGTCCGAACGGGGCGAGTCGCTCCCTACGGACACGTTCATGGAATTTGGATCCGAGGCGGAGATGGACTCTTCCACCTTCAGCCTCAGCAGGGAGTCTTCTGCTCCCTCGCCACCAGGGGGAGCCTCTAACTGGATTCCTGGGTTCTGGTTCTGGCTCGGGTCTGTTTCCTCGCTGGCAGCTGCAGGTTGAGACCCGGTTTCTTCAGCTGCAGGTTGAGATCCGGTGTCTTCAGCTGCAGGCTTAATGGGTTCGTTGGTTCCATCCAGAACTGGTGCTTCTGAAGCTTGACTTTCTGCAGCAGCTGACGGTTCTGCTAAAGTGTTTTCTGCAGAACCTTCTGTTTTCTGGGTCTCTGGTTCAGCTGCTGATTCAGGTTCTTCTACTTGGACCAGAACCGATGTTTCCTGGATCTCCGCTGGCTCTGCCGTCTCTGGCTGGACGTCTGTCTTCAGCTCTTCTTTGCTGCTTTCTTCTACCTTCACTGTTTGGACCGGTTCCTCTGCCTGCCGACCGACGGTTCTCGTCGGATCCTCGGTTGGTTCCAACTTCTCCTGCGGCTGGTCTGCCTCCTTGCCCGGACTGAGGGGCAGACCGTTGACGCTCAGAGGAGAGGGAGGAGTCTGAGAGGTGGACCTGGTGGGGAGTTGGGCAGGGCTGCCTGGTGTGGACACGGAGGACAGGCTGGAGCGGCTGTTCCTCACAGAGAGGTTGTGCTTCTTCAGGGCTGCGGCTTCCTTCACCACTGCAGGGCAAGAGGAGAAACAGGAGGTTAACAGGAGGACAAAGAGGAGGAGGAGGGGTGTCCTGGACCGGTTCCTACCTTTAGAGACCTCCTCATCTAAGATTTGCAGGAGGATGTTTTCATAAACGTTCTCTATGTGGATGAAGCTGGAGTAGTCTGCATAGATGGTGGATTCCAGACCCTGAAGTTCCTGTAAGGATGACAGAGACAGATGATCAAAGGAGGTTCTGTTTTCTTCTGCAGCCTCCTAGATTAACCAGACATCTCCTGGATTAACCAGACATCTAGTCAGTGCAGTCTTTCATCCACGGTTTGATCTTCATTTTCTTTTGACTCTTAGTCAAAGCAAGCAGTGATCAAATGGAAGACAAACAATAGATTATGACATTTTTGGCATGATCTGTTTTTAACAGATATTTCTAAATACCTTTTATTGAATTTTGGGCCGTAGAGAAACAACCAGCAGTAAAAATCTTTTCGCTGCTTTAAGCATTTTTTTATTTTTTCGAGTCTCACCATGTCAATAGTCCAGCAAATGGTTCCGCCTGGTAGGACAGTCCAGTTTTATATCACCAAAGGAATAAATATGCTACTAAACTAATCCTCATTATTGGGGGTTTATATACTGTAGACTGGATCAGAGTTTTGGTGGTCCATCCCCCCCAACAACATGCTCAGCTTTGCAGATGCCTCTCAGCTCTATGGACTGATCAAACATTGTTTAGAGCAATGCTCCAATAATCCAGAAGAAAACCAGATTAAAGCAGCTGATTGGTTCATTCATGCTGAACAGGACTGATCAGACCTATGAAAGGCAGCTGAGGTGGTCCTGTCCTCGAAAAAAAGGGGCGACCATGAGGGAGAAATGAGAAGACCCGATGTTCTGAGATTTAAGAACCAGGAAAAAACATGATGGTTCTTTCAACAAGAAGCCCATTGTCCTATTGTCAATGAAATGTTGGTTTAGTAAAACAACAGATTTCAATGTTGTGGAAAATACAGGAGCCCCGATCATCACTGATTTGGTCTCCTGCTCAACAATACATCTGAATTATTAACTAATTTAAAACCAGAGTGAGAGGAGCAGGCAGTGCTCAAAATTTAAGGAATCAGTCCTGTCCTGTGAAGCCAACCAGCTCTAGGTGTATTAGCCTCCACCTCCCTCCATTAAGTTGCTGCAGAGCTCCTAAAGCATGCCTGTGGATCAGCCGCACATTGATCGTATTTATCCACTGCCAGCTGTATGTGGTGCATATTCGCCCCAAACCGCTTCCTGTTGATTTGGACTTTAGGACCTGATTGAGGCTCAGAACCAGAAACCTGGCTGTCTGTGTTTCTGCAGTCTTACCGCTTTGCAGGAGTCAGCCAAGTTCTTCTTAATGAAGGGCAGCGTGATGGAGACCAGAGCATCCTGGAAGATCCTCTTCCTCACCGTGCTGCTGTCATAGTCGTATTGCTGCAGTGAGAGGAGGTCAGAGGTCATTGGGAGTAATGGGTCATGGTGATAAACCCAAACATATTTAAATTAGCTCAGACACTCATCACCAATTTCTCAGCTTCATGGATAATTGAATAATAAAGACGCTAAAGTGAAAGAAAAAGGTGAAATGCATCGATTTAGGTCTCAATCCACCACAGCAGCTTTTTCACAGTTGATAATGAACCGCAGCAGACAGCAGAATATAAAATAAACTCAGTAATCATTTTTGAATCATAAAAGTCCCACATTTAACTATTTATTTTACTTTCAACAGCATAAAAAATTTATTTTAATAAAAAAAAAACCGACCACTAATGAATGATTTCTACCTGCAATTACATTAGGCAACAACTAGGTGGCACTATGAAATCACTGCTAAACCAGCAGTGTGTAGAGCACCAACACACCTACTAACTTTCATTTTAGTCCAATTAAAGTATTCAGTCAAGAAATTACTGAATTAAAAATAAGTATGTATTAAGCTGCATACTGAAAGTACTGTACTAAAGTACTAAACAATTGGATTATTAGAATATTGAAATAATCAACTAATGTAGTAGTCGATTGTTAACTGGAGTATAGAGACTAAAACGCGCCTTTACCGGATAGATCAACCAACCTATAGTAGAAATTATACCAGAATTGTAAAAAGATATATAATATACTATATCCCGAATGCCTCAAGTGAAAAAGTTTTAGTTTAATTCTTTAAAAAAAATCTTCTTAAAGGAATCATTTACTATCCAATTATTAATTAATTATTATCATTAGTTGCCACCTAGAATAGTTTATGGATCATAACATCTGAGATGTAAAATGATGTAATCAAGACGGTGGTAATTCTGGTATTTTAAAGTATGAAATACAAATAAAAACATGAAAGCACATTCAAGCAGAAGAAAAATGTTTCTGAATAT